TCATCCAATTTTTTGTGTTGTATATACCAAGTAATTACAAAAATAAATAAAAAAAGGTTAACTTAATCGAACTTCTATATACAAAAAAAGGTAAAATGCTTTCTTGTAGCAAACAATGTGTAAGCAACAACCAAATATTCTGTCCTGAATTCCCGACTGCCTAAATCTTTTGTTGTGAATAAATTAGCTCTCTTGCTATTTATAATGATGCTCCTTGGTTTAAAGAAAATAGATTTAATTGGGTCAAGCTTTCAATAACTCTACCTAGACACACAATAGTTTTGATAGATTATTTTTTCTAAGAACACTTTCCTCTTTTTCTGTAATTCATTGTTTCAAGAGAATTTGTTAGCGAAAATTTTTAATAGAATTTTTTGTTATATCAGAACTATTAATTTAATCTTACTTTTTGATCTTCGATCTCGTTAATCCCGAAATGAGCATACTGGTAAGAGGATAGTATTACTCCTAGTTTTTATTTGAGCAATAAATAAACAATGTCCAATGTAAATCAATCAATCAATAATGGGAAAATATTGCGTTGTGCCGCATCTTTATAAAGTTGCACTTTAAAACCCGAGGAAATGAAATTCCAGCACTAAGAAAATTGTAAATCAATCATCTCCATCTCAATAATCATAGATTTGATAAGGATAAGGTTTTGCTCCATAACTACATTTTCGAGCGAGGTTGACGTATGACTTTACCAAATTTCTAAAAACCATTGTATTCTTCAATTTCAAGAATAGTGAGCAAGTCATAAAATAATAATATATCGGTAACTCAAATTAGTAAAATAAAATTGGTTTTGTTTAAAAAATTTGGAGGCAAAAAATTTAAGTCTCAAATACATATTCCTAAAAATTAGGTAAGTTAAAGAATTGTAAGTATTTTAGAGTTGACTAAAAAAATAGAGTGAAAAGGATTGGATATGTAAAGATGAAAAAACATAAAATTATGAGTCGCAGTTATTGTATGGATACATCAAAGTCAGTGAATAATAATTTTGTCTTTAGCTAGTATCACTTAGGATAATACTTAATTTTTGTCTAAATTTCATTACATACAACAATAATGCTTTGCTCTACTGTTGATACACAAATTATATGATGGATTAATTGGGGACGTAAAATGAACAACATCAACAATATTAAGCACAATAATTACATTAACGTGTCACAATAGCTATAATAAGAACATGAAAACCTAAAATTTTGAAACAATTGTCCATCTTAATTATTCTGTCATATACACCATGAAATCCAAAACAAAAAAAAACAAAAAAACAAAAAAACCGAATTTAACTTTTTATATAGGAAGAAGGGCAAGATTTCTATGCTTCCCGAAGTTCTATCTTTTCTCTTATCCAACCGTCCATTCTGAATGGAGGGCTAAGATTGCCCCAATCACAATATCACGTCTTTACAC